TGTGGGGCCGGCTCCTGGGGCAGCTCCAGGCTCTTGAGGGGCAGGCTCTGCGGCTTGTGCATGGTCACCTCAGGGCCAGTCGGCGACCCCTGCTGGGCACGTGGCTCCAGGACCTCCAGCAGGTCAGCCCCACCCATCAGTGGGGGCTCCCCTTCCGTGGGCCCCATCCCAGCAATGCTGCCTGGAGCACCTGGGCAGGGGCAGCCCCGCTGGGCTTCCTCAGGGCCTGTGAGGGCGACGCTGGCCAGTGGGGACCACCCAGCAGCACCTCAGGGCCAGTCGGCGACCCCTGCTGGGCACGTGGCTCCAGGACCTCCAGCAGGTCAGCCCCACCCATCAGTGGGGGCTCCCCTTCCGTGGGCCCCATCCCAGCAATGCTGCCTGGAGCACCTGGGCAGGGGCAGCCCCGCTGGGCTTCCTCAGGGCCTGTGAGGGCGACGCTGGCCAGTGGGGACCACCCAGCAGGAGGGAGGGACGTGGCGAGAGGAGAGGCGACGCTGGGCTGGTCTTTGGGGTCCTTGCGGAGCTGTTCTGTGAGGGGAGCAGCCTGCCCTGGCTCGGGCCCGGCATGTATGGGCTTCCCGCTCGGCCCCTCTACCCCCTGACAAGCGGCCATCCCCTCTGTACTCGTCCCTGCTTCGGCCTCCCGACGCCTCATCTCCCCAGAACCCCCGTCCTGGGTTCCAGTCACCAAGAGGAGAGCACCCTGGGTCTCCTGGCCAGGCCCTGGCGGGGTCACAGCCCCCCTCCCGGTTCCCTCCTCTTTCAGCTCCACGGCTCCTGGCTCCGGGCAGGGTCCCTCCCGGGCAGCTGGCGGCAACGGGTCCGTCTCACGCGTGGGCCCCGCTGGTTCAGCCGACATCTCTGCACCTGGGACCGTCCCTTCCCCCCCTTGCAGAGGCTCTGCCAGGTGGGGCAGTGACCCGGATGGCGAACGCTGTCCCCAGGTGCCAGCCGGAGCAGCCCCCTCGCTGAGCAGCAGCGTCTGGGAGGCCCCAGCGGGGCAGGAGGAATCCAGCTGTGCTGGTGCAGGGCAGTGGGCCCCGCTGGTTCAGCCGACATCTCTGCACCTGGGACCGTCCCTTCCCCCCCTTGCAGAGGCTCTGCCAGGTGGGGCAGTGACCCGGATGGCGAACGCTGTCCCCAGGTGCCAGCCGGAGCAGCCCCCTCGCTGAGCAGCAGCGTCTGGGAGGCCCCAGCGGGGCAGGAGGAATCCAGCTGTGCTGGTGCAGGGCAGGCCCAGTGGGGCGTCTTCCCTGCTCTGCTCGCCCTGCGGCGTGCTGGGTGCGTCGGGGAGCTCCGTGTGTGCTGGGTGCGGTGTCTCGCCGGGGGAACAGCCCAGCGTTTGTGGGGGTGAGGGCCCTGGCTGCTGTTCTCCAGGGGGCGCTGCCAATGCCGCCCCTTGCTGGGACAGAGGCTGGGGCACCACCAGCTCTGGGCCAGATGGGCGTCCTCCTTCCAGGGACTCTCCGCCACCGATGGCCTCTTCCATGTCCCTCGCAGGCATTGGCGCAGCTCCTGGCACCTGCAGCCTGGAGCTCTCGGGAGCATCCCCATCTGCTGGGCCCAGCGGAGGCAAAACGGGGCCCGTCTCTGGCATCAGGCCTTGCCCGTCCATGGGCTCCATGCCACCCTCCGGGGCTGCGCTCTCTGTGCCAGGCAGAGCATCAGAAGGGGCCGCAAGGACCTCGGAAGCAGCTGCCTTGGCCTCTCTCTCTTCTGGGGAGAGCAGCTTTTTCCTGGGCACAGGCACCGGCTCGAGATTGTTGTAACCAGCCTCTTTCTTGGGGAGCTTCTTGCCAGGGCTCCCAGTGGGCAGCCCCTTTGGGGCACAGGTTGCTGCTCTCTGTGGGGTGCTTGGATGGCTGCTCCCTGCCTTTGGAGGGATCTTCAGCCCTGTGGGCCTTGGCTTTTCCGAGGCCTTGGGAGCAGCAGGAACTGGGTGGCTCTTGGCCTTGGGCTCCAGCGGGAGCTTGGCTTTGGCAGTCTTGTTGAGGGCGGGGGTCGAGCCAGACAGCTGGGCCCTGGGCATGGGGGCGGCTCTGACGGGCTCTGTCAGGGACAAGAAAGAAATCAGGTCTCAGAGCTAGGCCCTAGCTCAGCCAATGGGAAGGGCCCTCGGGGGCCAAGGGACCAGGCCAGGCGAGGATACTGTGAGCTGCTGCGGTCCCCTGGGAAAGACAACGGGGCTCGGTAGTGTCCCAGTTCCCACGTCACTCCACAGGACAAGGACTGAGCCAGCTTTTCGCTCTGCCGCCGCGTAACTGAGAGCAGCCCCATGTCTGCTCCAACTCATGCTCTGCTTAGAAGGAGAGACTACCCACAATGCAGTGCACTGCAGCTGCATTCCCGAGGCCCAGGGCTGGGAGCAGAGCCTTGCTTGCTCTGGGCTGGCGGGGACCTCGTGCGAGCGAGCAAGCAGCCACCCTTTGCCACCGGAGATGGGCCACCTGCACTCTGGCCCAGAGCCAGGTGTGGCCTGGGGTCCCAAACAGGCAGCAACCCCCCATACAGGACGGCAAGCTCCACCCCTCACGCACGGGATCCAGCCAGACACCGTGTCAGACGCCTCGGCAGCCCACGCTGGATTCACTGGAGTCTGCTGATGTGTCACGCCTAGGCACAGGGGCATAAAGGGGCACCCCCCACACACACCCTGGGAAGGGGGGGTTCCCGGCTGCTGTGCCCAGACACCAACCCTGGCAGGGTCAACCCCTTCCTAAGACAGGCCTGGCTCTGAGCCCCAGTAAGAGGGATGGGGGGTTTGGGGGAAGGGCAGGGCTTGGGGCAGATGTGGAGGTTTGTCCCAGGCCCTGCAGTCCCCCAGGGATCCCGGGGCTAGGGGGTGGAGTCACGTGTGTGTGTGGGGGGGCAGTTGTGTCCCCCCCCCACAGACCCCTCTGCATCCCCAAGGCGTGGCGGCAGGCGCCTGTACCTTTCTTCGCAGAGGCGGTTTTGTTTCTCTGCTGCGGTGGTACTGCCGAGGTCTGGCCACCAGGTGGCGCCATCTGCTTGGGTTTAGCCATGGCAGGTTTGTTGCTGGTCAGGGCTCTGGCAGCAGCGTCCTTAGTCCCGAGAGTAGCGGGTCTGAAATCAGACCAGAGAGGAGTGAAGAAAGAGAATCCGCCCTGTCGCACCCAGAACACCGAGCTTTGCTAGACACCCTTCACCTGCAGAGCTCAAAGCCCCCTTCTCCCCACCCTACAGAGGGGGAAACTGAGGCACAAGGCAGAGTAGTGACTTGCCCAAGTTCACCCAGCAGGTCAACGGCAGAGCTAAGACTAGAACCCAGACCTCCCTGGAGCCAGTTCTGTGCTCTGGCAGAGGGACCAAGAGGGTACAGTGCAGGGGATGCCAGGGCATGGTACCTCTATGCACACACTGCTGCCCACAAAAGGCTCTGTACCAGCCTGCAGTGGTCTGATATGGATGTTCCCCACCCTGACCGACAAACTCCTTGCTCCCCAACTAGCTGGAGCAGGGTTCTTTACTGCCATTAACCCCATTTTACCCAGGAGGGGAAACTGAGGCAAGGGGACCAGGTAACTTGCTCACTCACACAGGGAGTCTGTGGTGGTGCTGGGAAAACTGGACCTAGTGCCTCCAGTCCCCAGCTAGTGCCCTAGCCACTGGGCCATCCTGTCCTTTCTGCACCAAGAGGCACTGGGCCAGCTGCCAAACGAATCCAAGCCATCTAGGCCCTTTGCCAGCACCGCCTGGCAGCTTGGACTGGGTATGAATGGAGGCCACGTCCCCCCTCTGGAGAGCTCTAAGGGGTGCCCCTCCTGCAACACCCCGTCGCCCAGCAGCAAGCCCCATGTATAGGCAGAACACACGGCCGCTGCCACGTCTCCAGCCACGGCCACCATGTCCAGCGCTCTCGCAGTTACAGTAAAACCCTTTCCACCCCAGGCCCAAACCCACCCCCAGGGCAGCTCCCCGGGCCTGCCCCAGCGAGCAGGATGGCCCTGGCCTCCCTGTAGTTCCTCAGGTTTCGGAGAGGAACGTTTGAAGTTAAGTTCAAAGTGGAGGTATCCCAGAAAAGCTCTGCTGTGTCCAAGCAATGCGTCCACTTTTTCAGAACAGTTTTTTTGGCATCCCTGTATTCCTCATTGTCTGAGGAAGAAGGGATGTTCCGAAAGGAGGTTTTTCCAGAATTTGGCCCTGTGTAGATGGGCCAAACTTCGGAAAAGCCTCTTCTGGAAGAAAAGCAGGAAAAGATAGCCTAGTTGCAGTTCGCAATTTGCGAATCTTTTTCCGACATTTCTTTGCCATCTAGACACAGGCTCCGAGTGACATTTCACAACCCGCACTAACCGTCACGATGCTCTCCCCTCCCCACCCGCTGCATCCTTGCTTTGATCCCAGTGGAAATGCCACCTGTGGCTCTGGACACCAATGGTGCAGAACTGGAACAGCACCCGGTAGCACTGCCCCCCGCACGCCCCTCCATAGCCCCAGCAAGCTGAAACCGTGGCCCTGCAACTGCCCAGGTGGGTTCCTCCGAGCAGCACCCACTGGCCAAGGTTCTCTGCTTGGAGTCTCCCCATTTTAACCTTCCCTCCTGCCCGTTCTCACCTGTGAGGCCCCAAGTCTCCTTAGGGTGTCGTGGCCCCTCCCCTCGGCTAGGAGGGTAGGGGGTTGAGAACATAAGGAGGGCCAGACTGGGTCAAAGGTCTATCTAAGCCCAGTGTCCTGTCTCCCGAGAGTGGCCAATGTCAGATACCCCAGAGGGAGTGAACAGAAACAGGGAATCATTCCGTGATCCCCTCTCCTGTCTCCCATTCCCAGCCCCTGACACACACAGGCTCGGGACACGATTCCTAACACGTTCCTGGAGGATGGCGTCTAGGTCTCTTTGAATCCTGTTAAAGTCCTGGGCTTCACAACAGCCTCTGGCAAGGGTGGGCCTCACCCCTTTCCCAGCATTCAAACAGGCCAGTCTGCGTGGCCAAGTGTCATCCCAAGCTGCCCCCGTTACCTTGATACGGTCAGTGAAGTTTCACGGGTGTGAGCTGCTGGATTCCCCCATTACGGTACTTTTCAAGCAGACAGCTTTAAAAAAAAACCAACAGCCTACTTCCCCCAGACTCGTAGGGCTGGAGGTAGCTCAAGAGGACATCAGGTCCAATTCTCTGCCTGGAGGCCATGTAAACCTAGGACCAACCTGTCCTTCAAAGCCTCCGCTGGCAGGGATTCTACAGCCTCCTTTGGAAGCCTGTTCCAGAACTGATCTGCCCTGAACACGAAGATTACATTTCCCTCCCCCGCCACCCCAATATCTAACCTAACTGTCCCTTGCTGCCGAAGAAGCTCATTACTTCTCCGCGCACAGTCAGTGGACTGCAGAACAAGAGATCACAATGGGTCTTTGTGTAGTTGCAGGCCATTGTCTGGCTCCCCCTCGGTTCTCTTTTTCAGACTAAACATGCCCCGTTTTTAACCTTTTCCCACCAGTGAGGTTTTCCAGCCCTTTGATCACATGGGCTGTTCTCACTTGGACTCTCCCCCACTTGGCCACATCTTTCTATGAGCATCACACCCTGGACACAGGACTCCAGCCGAGGCCTTGCGAGGGCCAAGCAGAGTTGGGCAGTTACATACAACACACCTGTTAGTACGTGCCAGGCAGAGATTTGCTTTTTGCATCTACACTGCAGTGTCGCCTGAGCCACAACAGACCCCAAATCCTTTTCAGCACCACCTAGCCCGTTCTCCCCCACCTTGCATTTGATTTTGCCTTGTGCTTTGCATGCATCTTTACAGAATTTCATCTTGAATTCAGGCCAGTCCTCCAATTGGTCTGGGTCACGTCAAACGAACCCTCTCCTGCCAAGTGACTGCAAGACCCCTCTAGGGATCAGTGGGACCCAAATCACTTGTGACAATACTGACTAGAACCCAGGACACCACACCAAGGAGAGCTAGTCTGAGTGCACCGAGATGCATCTCTACCTTGTGCCCAGTTTGATGTCAGTGATATCATCCAGACTTGGGGTGCTAGATTAGAGAGCCATCCACCACCCTCACATTAGTGCCATTGTGATATTTCTGTCCCATGATAGGCAGAACCACAGTCTATCTCCAACAGCAGACAAGCATCCACACAGCTTGTGTCCCACTTCTGTCTCCACTGTTTACCAGGAACCCCTCCCTGACAGGAACACTATGCATCTCAGGTTCTGGCAGTATGTTGAACATCTAGTGGTGGTGCACAATAGCAAGACACAAAATTCAGAGAGCTCTAACACAGGTAGTTTGGGGATGAGAGAGGGTCGCATGGAACTGCCCAACACTGACATCAAGATACAGCAGATCTACAGCTTCCCCGCGCTCTCTGGGCCAGAATGGGTTAGGATTCCCAGCAGGGGTGATTAACCGTGGGACAGCTTCCTGGGGCTGTATGGGTCCCTCCATCACTGGGTGTCTCTCAAAGTCAGGCTGGCTGGTTTTCCAAGCCGCTCGAGTGCAATCGCTGTGGCTGAACTAGAGGCAGGAAGGAGTCGGGGGGCTCGTGTGCTCTGCAGAAAGCCAGGGCAGATGAGCACACGGGCTCCTCTAGCCTTTTAGGAGGGAAAGCAGAAGACAATTTCTTGTCTCTCTTGCTTTTCACGAGCAAGGAAGCCACTGCCAGGTCCCAGATAAGCCTGGTTTACCAACTACACAACACGCCAGGCCCAGCCATCTTTGCCCTGCTGCTCTAACAGGTTCTGACAGCTTTCATGCCCCAGTGGAGGGCCCCCTGGAACAGACACACACTGCCCTGTCCCCAGACTCTACACTTACGCCATCCAGACAATCCACCTGCTGCCTTGTGCATGGGGCAGGTTTGCCTCTGTCTGTGCCAACATGTCTCTTGTAGAAAGACAGCCAGGCTCAATTTGGAGTGATGGGGGATCCCCCACAGTCCTATATGAACTGGCTTGGTGTTCTTGTGGCTCAAAATTCACACTTCATTTCTAATTTGGCCAGCTTCAACTTCACTGATCTCATCCAGACTTGGGCTGCTAGACTAGAGAGCCATCTGCTCTCAGAAGTCTCCCCCCCACACACACCGCTCCTTAGAACCATTGTGATATTTTTGTCTCATGATAGGCAGAACCACAGTCCATCTCCAACAACAGACAAGCAGCCACGTAACTCGTGTCCCACTTCTGTCTCCATTGTTTACCAGGGACCACTCCTTGACTGGAACACTATGCAAGTCAGGTTCAGCCACTAGATGCCCAACATACTGCTAGTGCACATTAGCGAGACAACATTCAGAAAGCTCTGACACAGGGACTGTTTCCTTCTCATCTCAGGCTCTCCAAGGTGTTGCCTCTGACCGAGGACTGTTTGTGGGTGTTGCCCTAGTTTCAAGGACACCTGCTACCAGCCTCTCTCATGCTGGTTAGGGTTAATGTCAGAGTCAGGGTGTGATTACATCCGGTCACATTATCTCAGGTACCATGCACACCCTGCACGTTTGCTACGGCTTGCTGCTTGGCTGAGGGGCAGGTCTCCAGGACTGTGCCTTGCCTGCTGATGAGCACCCCCCTTGGAAATCCAGAGCCCTAAACTCCAGCTTTCCCAGCGACGCCACACACTCCCGCTCTTCACCCAGCCCCCCCACATCTGGAGCAGCCAGCCGGCGACTCCACACTGCACCTGGAAGGCCTGGCCGATTCTGGTTTCTCAGGCTTTGCTGCGGCTGACTTCAGGGCTAAAAACAGAAAGAGGGAGAGACGGCGTCAGCCCCAGGAGACGTGAGGTTATGGACGAGACAACAACTCCAATCCCACAGTGATGGGCCCAGGGCAGGCCCGGAGAGTCCAGGCCACACCCTAGCGACAGGTGTGGGGGCGCATGGGGCAGGCCCGGAGGCCCAGGCGAGAGCTCTGGAGTTTAGTGTAAGCAGCAGCAGGGGGTGCCCCCGGCTCCGGGCAGGGACTGGGACTCAGTAGGGTGGGGCCAGGAGAAAAAGGCTCCACTCCCAGCTCTGACCCAAGAAGTCAGGGTACATGGGAGAGGGCAGCGCCAGCTTCCTCAGCAGTGCAGTTACGCCCCCCTCCCTGGAACGGGCTCAGCCTGGACCCCGTCTAAGGCTGGGCTCTAGCCGGAGGCATTGGCCTCTGGCCTGCCAGGAAAAGGGCCAGGACGTCCCTAGTGCAGGGCGATCCAGGGGATCTGTACGGCTCCTGCTAGGAGAGGATGGGGTATGTGCCGGGGGGAGGGGCCACTTGACCAGCATGGCTACAGCCTGGCCTGACTGTCAGCAA